CTGCACCCGGGGAAAAAAACAAGAGGGAGTTCTGTGAGAATGGGTCAAGCTTTTCATAATCACAGTTCCATGGGGATTAATTACTGAATTGATAAATTGATTGTCCATGTATGATTACCATTAATATGAGTTTTTGAGTTCTGTTTTAAAGGTAGAAAAAAAATATATATATATATATCTTGAACCTTAACATAATAAAAAAATTACATCACAATTTCCATTACTGATTCACAATTTTTCAGTTTATATATTTCATTACCTCATCTAGTAATACTTTACACATAAATAAAATATTTCCTGTATTAAAGCTTATTCACTAAATTAGAAGTTTTAAGTCCCATAATTCACAACACAATTTCTTCCTTATATATCTAATATTTCTCTTACAAAATAAATAATGAAAATCTTTCTATGGCTAGACTCTTTCATATTTCTACTTGTCTTGAAGTAATAAAAAGAAGGACACACTAAACCATCTAACTTATGCATACAGTAAGATAAAAGAAGCATCTGCTGACTTAGTCATGCTGAAAGGTACCATAGCGCCTACTCCTTATGTGACATTCTACCACATGTATTCTTTAATCCATTCTCCATGTGGCAGAAGGAGACAAAGTTTTACTGCTATCTTACCCATTAACAAACATTTAACTATGAACTCTGGACTACTTGAACTTTTCTACCCATTTTTGGCACAATGTCAATAATTTTAGCTTTTACAAGTCTGACTGTGCTGTATACCTTATACCACAAAAAATAGACGAAAATTAAAATAAATAAAAAAGGAAGAGAGAATGAAAGAAAGGAAAAAAAAAAAAAAATCTTATACTGAACACTAAATAGATAAAGGAAGAAATTGCCATCTACTAGTTGAGGAAATGACAGCCCTGAGTGCTGGAACATAATAACATTAGAGAGGTGGTGAATGCTTTCCACCAGATCCATAAAAATCAAAAGAGAAGGCAAAGTGGTGCAGCATTGGCTTAAAAAATGGCGTGACTCAGACAGGAGGCCAAGGTGGCAAACTGAATACTGACAGACAGAATAACAGCAGCTTGCTGTGTTGAGCAGTGAATAGTCACTCCAGACACACAACTTCTCTCTCACAGAAGTGCACTCACAGGAATGTTAATTATTACACACACACTCATACACACATGCACATACAATCGCTCATACAAATACATATATGCACTCATGTATATCCAAGTTAAGGAGTTTTTCACACAGTCTCTCACTGGGTCACTTACCTCACCAATAAGGATAGAAAAAGGCAATTAACATAATCTGAAAAAAAGTAAATGGCAAAAAAATTATAAACATAAATTGAGTCACATGAGAAGTTAGCAAGAATGGGAAAAAGTGAAATACAAATGCATATAATTAACTACAAACAGACAAGTACAATATACCAACTCTAAGAGTTAAAAGTAATGCATACAAATGGGCAACATCATAAAAGGATACAAAATATTCCCTAGTTAATAATAATATTAATGAGCAACACATCTATACCAAGTACTAAGTCTTCTGCTCTAAAAATATGGTCCCAATCCTTCCGTGCAGCCTTAAATCTAGTCAAACAAACACTGAACAATTGCAAAGCTGTTGCCTTGCCACTGGCCATCATTCAGCAGAAGTCAGCATGAAGAAAGCTAGCACATAAGATGAAGACTTAAGATCAAAATAAAATATTTTTGTAATTTGTCCACTTATTGCAACTTCAAAAAGAAAAATGTCCATAGTTAATTTGTTGCATAACATACAGCATATTTGTGAAATCCATCTGGGAAAATGGAAGAGGGGGGGGACAGATAAAGAATGATGAAAAAAGAAAAAGTTCCATGGCTTATTCATGGAAATAGACTACATCCAATGCCATTCTTATAAACCATCACGGTGATTAGCCAGAGTTTCCTTTTCACTGATCCTGTCACTGCACTAGAAACTGCATCTGATGACAGATTGGAGTACCAGCTTAGAACAGCAGCTGGTTTTCAAATTGTCTTAGGGCATTTCAAAGATAATAAATTCTGAATGGTAAAATACTTAGGAAATCTTTCATATATATATATATATCCATATAAACATTATATTTTGTTGTGAAATAACAATTAACATTTGGAAAAGTGCCTTTACATTTTTCTCTTGTCAGAAGGGAAATACATTATTCCCCTTTATCAATCTCTAATCAATGCCTCCAGGAGAATTTGGGGTTTGCTGTGCCTCCTCTCTGGGGAGTATACGTGGCCGCATGGGCGTGCCCTGAGGCTATTTCTAACGCAGATAGTACACTGCATTCACCATGGCACACCAACAAGGGACATGATTTTAATTTAGTATCACTTGCATCTAAAACACAATTTAAATGTTCCTGCATATTCAGAGATGTATAATATTCATTTTAGTAACCCGATTATGTAGATAAGCTTCCATTTCAACAAATCAGGTGTGTTATACTCTGAGTAGATGAAAGATGATTATGTAAACTAGGGTGAAAGGTACTTACAAATTCACAGCAGCAACAAGAAAGCAAATGTTTTGGAGCATGACAATTTTCAGGTATAGCAGATGAATGATTTATGTGGTAAATATCCCCTTTTAAACAAAAAACTAGCCAGGTGGAACATTACACATCCTGTTATCCCTCAGACAATAGCCCCAGGGATTGTGGTATGTGAGCATGAGGGTAACTTATAAAGAACAGCAAAAAAAATGCCTGCTTCATAGTATCATGATGTGAATGACCCTGAGCCCAAGGCTGCACCCAAATCAGTCATGACAAGAACCCCACATCATCTGGAGACAAAGGGGTCCTTTATTTTCTTTACAAAGTACCAGGTTCCTCCTGCATATACAATCATTACTCATCAAACATATAGTTTTAACTAAGAAGAAATGATAAAAATATAGACATTTCAAAATGAATAAAAACAAATAGAAAAGATATTCAAATTCTAATTCTGCACACATGCACATTCACTCACTCACTCACTCACTCATCACTCACTCACTCTCTCTCTTTCACACACACAAACACACGTATGCATGCACGCGCACACACACACACACACACAAAATAATGTGATGACATATCTACTTTATATAAATGGAGATGGAAAAGAGTACAGCTCTTTGTTATCTAAACCCGTCACACCTAGAACTCAAATGAACCAACCAAGATTTTCAAATTAATCTTATTACAAAACAAGGATTAACAATAAAAGTCAAGCCCCACCAATAGCACTGGAATATTATTTTTTGCCCATATGACATATGACAAAGCAAGGAAGGTGGAAGTGGAAGAAATCAGGAGAGCTGAAAGGGGAAGGAGTGAAGATGAAAGAACACTGAAGAACACAAAAAAACTAAGCAGAAGACATAGGTGAAGTGCCAAACCATACAAAACAGATGATGGTAAACAAGGAAAGGGAGGATAGGACACAAATCATGTAAGAGAAAAAATTAAATAAATATAAAGTGAAACTGGAAATAGAGAGTACAGTAAGAAAGAATGACATATAATGAAGACAAAAATGAAGCATAAAAATAAGCTTTAATACCTGCAGGGAGAAACCATCTTTGTATTCAAGCATAACCTTTCCTTTTTCTTGAGGAAAAAGATATAAGAACTACTTGCTTTTAGTCAATGCTCTCCCTTAAAATACTAGATACATAGCTAATTGCGAAGAAACTGTGAAAAGAGAAGACAATGCAGACTAGTTACACATTTTCTCAAATGAAGATATGTTTTGGAAATGCTGCTTCAATGATCTTACAAAAAACACCACAAAGCCAGAACATCATTGCTATTTTCAGTTTCATCAGTTTAAAAACTACATCTTGAATATATTTCATGTCTGACAGCAGAACAGAGAATAAGTGGAAAATGTATTAAACAGTTAGATCTGGGTGCCTCATGGCCCACACATGGACCAAAATCCAAGCATTAGACTGACTTGAGTGGGAACCCTCCAAGGTGTATGGTTCGTAGGCCCAGCCCACACAAACAATCATGCATGGTATTAAGACTCCTTGCCTTCTCTGTGAATGATTTTATCTCTATGTTTGCAGTAATGTGTTTTGCTTTTTTTGCCATTTTCTATATTTATCATTTGTTATATTGTATCATGATGATGTATTACAGTTTTCCTTGAGCAGACTTCATGTTATCTCTAGATAGTCTACAACTCTGTTATAACAATAACAGGAAGTATCATTGTTATTTGTATAATGCTTTGAAGCTGGTGCTCTTCAAAGAACAGCTCATGGATAGTACATTCCACTATCATTTACCGATGGAAATAAAGCAAGAGCCCCTTCCAAATGCCCACTGAGTATACATTTCTATAACAATACATTTACAAGAATAGTAATGTGAAAAAAAAAGAAAAAGAACAAGAAAAAAAAAGAAAAAAAAAAAAAAGAAAAAAATAAATAAATATAAAGTGAAACTGGAAATAGAGAGTACAGTAAGAAAGAATGACATATAATGAAGACAAAAATGAAGCATAAAAATAAGCTTTAATACCTGCAGGGAGAAACCATCTTTGTATTCAAGCATAACCTTTCCTTTTTCTTGAGGAAAAAGATATAAGAACTACTTGCTTTTAGTCAATGCTCTCCCTAAAATACTAGATACATAGCTAATTGAGAAGAAACTGTGAAAAGAGAAGACAATGCAGACCAGTTACACATTTTCTCAAATGAAGATATGTTTTGGAAATGCTGCTTCAATGATCTTACAATAAACACCACAAAGCCAGAACATCATTGCTATTTTCAGTTTCATCAGTTTAAAAACTACATCTTGAATATATTTCATGTCTGACAGCAGAACAGAGAATAAGTGGAAAATGTATTAAACAGTTAGATCTGGGTGCCTCATGGCCCACACATGGACCAAAATCCAAGCATTAGACTGACTTGAGTGGGAACCCTCCAAGGTGTATGGTTTGTAGGCCCAGCCCACACAAACAATCATGCATGGTATTAAGACT